AAAGATTGGAGAAACTGAATTTATTCTCTATTGAGAAGAGGAGATTAAGGGGGGATATGATCTCCATGTATTAATACATAAGGGGGATATGATCTCCAATGTATAATACATAAGGGGGATATGATCTCCATGTATAATACATAAGGGGGGATATGATCTCCATGTATAATACATAAGGGGGGATATGAGTCTCCATGTATAATACATAAGGGGGGATATGATCACCATGTATAATACATAAGGGGGATATGATCTCCATGTATAATACATAAGGGGATATGATCTCCATGTATAATACATAAGGGGGGATATGATCTCCATGTATAATACATAAGGGGGGATATGATCTCCATGTATAATACATAAGGGGGGATATGATCACCATGTATAATACATAAGGGGGGGATATGATCACCATGTATAATAAATAAGGGGGATATGATCTCCATGTATAATACATAAGGGGGGGATATGATCTCCATTGTATAATACATAAGGGGGGATATATCTCCATGTATAATACATAAGGGGGGATATGATCTCCATGTATAATACATAAGGGGGGATATATGATCACCATGTATAATACATAAGGGGGGGATATGATCTCCATGTATAATACATAAGGGGGGAATGATCTCCATGTTAAAATACATCAAAGGGGGGGATAATGATCTCCATGTATAATACATAACGAGGGGGATATGATCTCCATGTATAATACATAAGGGGGGATATGATCTCCATGTATAATACATAAGGGGGGATATGATCTCCATGTATAATACATAAGGGGGATATGATCTCCATCGTATAATACCCGCAGACATGTCCACCAGATTTGCCAGACAGAGAAGTGTGAATTGGTCACTCCAGAGAACAACGTCTTCTCTGCTCTAGAGTCCAGTGGTGGCGTGCTTTACACCACGGCATCCAACGCTTTGCATTTGCACTTGGTGATGGAAGGTTTGGATGCAGCTGCTCGGCCATGGAAACCCATTCCATGAAGCTCTCTACGCACTGTTGTTGGGCTCATCTGAAGGCCACAACAAGTTTGGAGGTCCTTTAGCTATTGACTCTGCAGAGACCAGTTGGCGAACTTCTGCGCATAACTGTGCGCGCTTTCAGCATGCACTGACCCCGCTCTGTCATGTGACCGTGGCCTACACTTGGTGGCTGAGCTGCTGTTGTTCCCCAGTTGCCTTCCACTTTGTTATAATCCCACTAACAGTTGAGACGTGGGAATATTTAGTACCAGGAAATGTCACGGATGGACTTATTGCCCAGGTGGCCACCTATCATCCGGGACCACGCTTGGAGTCACTGAGCTCCTGAGAGCGACCCATTCTTTCACCAATGTTTGTAAAGCAGTATGCATGCCTAGGGGCTTGATTGTATACACCTGTGTCCATGGAGGGGATTGGAACACCTGAATCACATGATTTTGGAGGGCGGGTACAATACTTTGGGCAAATAGTGTATATACAATTTTGGGGTTTGTAAGTCATTTTCCAGAAAAAAAAATGTAGATTTTTACATGTATGTGAGAAAGTGTCTAGCAGGCAGGTGATCATAACCAATTAAGTCCATGAGAAGGTGAAACGCATTGGAGGATGTGGCTCTGGAAACTGGGCAGCTTTCTAGTAATACGCTTCCACTTTTTTCATTTTTCAGAGTTTTGAGGAAATCTAAGATCAAAGATGCAACATCAAAAGATAATTGCCCATTCACAGATTTATTCCTACTTGTAAGATCACAAAAGCCAATGTGTTCGGGGGGGGGGGGGGGGGGGGGGGGGGGGGGGTCGACCAACTTCTTCAGGGTCTGAAAGGTAATATTTAACTGGTCTGAATGCAACAATGTGTGATTTCTTACCAATCTTCTGGGCCTCGTTCATATAGGCGTGTATACATCCATGGGCTCATGTGAGGGACTGTGTACCCACCTGAGATGCTCAGGTGTTCTCTGCATCTCCATGCAGGCAGTCCCATAGCTGTTCAATGGGGACACAGAGAGGTAGCACAGATACACAGCCCGCTTGGTCTCAATCAGACATCCATGTGGGTGCGAGTATATGACCCCAAAAAAACCACAGGGGCATACGTCCCATATGAATGAAGCTTTAAAAAAAAAACCAGCAGAGGTAGGGAAGTGGTGGAGAAAGATCCCGATGCCTTTGATTGGACTCCAATTGTCAAGATGGTGTGTGAGCTGGGAAGGTAATAGTGTTGGAAGCTCAAGGTGGTACCTCAGGATTGGAGTTTCGTCCTCTGCCACGGATTTATTTGGGCTTGCATCCCAAAAAGCGCGTTTTAGCTTTTCATTAGTTTGAAAGCCCAACAGCTCCGGAAAGGGTTCTAACTTCTCTGTGGTTGCCACTAGATTTTTTGGATTTCCATTCTTTTTTCATCAGCCTCATTGGAAAAGTGGGTCTCTTCTTCTTCTCCTTGGATGGTTGGAAACACATTCAATACTGTGGACATTTATTGAGCACTGACTTTTTTTTGGGGGAGAAGTTCTAGGTGAAACAGCTCCCTCATATATATTTACCTGAGTATTTAGCATTTATTTAACATTTTTTTTCCTAGAGTTCGGATTTAACGCTTTCCAGATAGTGTATGTATGTTTCTTCTTCATGCCATTTGTTGACTATACAGGAAAGGAAGGAACCACAAAGCCACATCGGCTGACATTGGCACACGCCATATGAGGCCACACTACATTCATAGAGGCCATCCTGCGGGGAATAGAAATACTTGTGAAACTAGAGAAAGAGGAATACACCGAATATAGATCTCCAGGAAGAATCTCCACACTGAGAACACTGAGTTCTAATTAATTCTAATTATTTATATAAGAACACTGAGACATCGTCCATCCATACAGATTAAGAACAGATACCGAGACTTACACCCGGCCAGGGCCGGTGCTGGACTATTTTGTGCCCCAGACAAGACCAGCTACTTGCCCCCCCAGCATAAATTCCCCCAATCCCGCCTCCTGCCACAAATCCCTCCTCCTAGCAGAACCCCCTCCAATTTCCCTTCCCAGGACAAATCCTTCTTCCCCATCCAAATCCCCCTCCTAGCACAAATTCTCCCAATCTTCCTTTCTAGCACAAAATTCCCATGATTCTCTCTGCTAGCACAACCCCCCCCCCACCCCCTCCTAGCACAAATTCCCCTGATACCCTCTGCTAGCACAAATCCCCCTATTAGCACAAATACACCCCCCCCCCAAAACCTCTCTTCTAGAACAATCCTCCCAATCCCCTCTATATACACAAATTTCCCCACAATCCCCCCTTCTAGTACAAATCCCCCCCCCCGGTTCAAATACAAATCCCCCATCTCCTCCCCAACACAAATCCGGCCCCCATCCCCTCCGCTAACACAACCCCCCCATCCCCTCCCCTAACACAAATCCCCCTGTCCCTCCAATAACACAAATCCCCCCCCCCCATCCCCTAACAATAATCCCCCCATCCCCTCCCCTAACACAAATCCCTCCCCCATCCCCTCCCCTAACACAATCCCCGCAATCCCCTGTTCTATCACAAATTCCCCCAATCCCCCTTCTAATACAAATCCCCCCCCCCCAATCCCCTTTCCTAGCACAAATCTCCCCAATCTCCCATCCTTGCACCAATCCTCTTACTTCCATCCCATCACCTATGACAAATCCCGCAAATCCCTCCTCTAGCTAAAACCCCTCCAAATTACCCTTCCCGGCATAAAATCTATCCACCTTGCCTACTCCCCCCTTTTAGCACGCCCCCCCTCATTCATCCCCATTACCCTTCCCAGCACAAGTAACCCCCATTCCCCTCCCGCACAGCCTCTTATCTCAGCACAAAGTAGCACCTGATTCCCCGGCCTGTAATCTCCACTCCTTCCCCTCCCAAACTTACAGGCAGGAAACCAGGTAGAGGTGCAGGTTGTGCTCTCTCTCCTGTCAGTGGAGCAATCCTCCCTACAGCAGATGACAGAGGATTGCTATTGGATTGGGCTGTACACAGTTCAATTACCGCGCCCCCTATTTCCTCCAATGATCTCTCTGCAGCAGGGAGCCAGGGAATGACTCAAACACTAAACATGCCGATTGTAACAGCAATCCTGATTACGGAGAATGGCTCCACTGACAGGAGAGGAGAGCACAGCCCGCACCTCCTGCCTCTCTCCATTCATTTCTCCTTTGCAGGCTTCACTGATCTAGGGAAGGCGTCCATGGAAAGACTGGCCTGTAGGGAGTGGTACAACTGAAATCTGGGGTGGCGTAGCCCACCCCAGCACCCCCTTTTTACCTGGCCAAGGAGGAGAGTACCAGGACAGGAGAAGTGGGACTGTGCAGAGTCCATACATACAGAATAAGGACAGATACCGAGAACCTGTGTTGGTTTCCTCCGAGTACTGCAGTTTCCTCCTACACTACAAAGTCTCCATCTCCAAAGAAGTGCATGCGCACGAAACGCCTTAGGAGGAGCCTAGGACGTCATGAAGTCACGCCGCCGGAGTAACGTAGAGGCCCGGCGGCCATCTTAGTTCCTGGACGGTCAGTCCTTATCTATACCTGACACTGCTGTATATAATTTTATCTGATTCATTTTTATATTCAATAAATCTTGACATAATATACTGCACTATGGGCACTCTTCTTGGTCTCCTTTGAGGAGCTATGTTATTTATACAGCCCTGCTGTGATCCAGTCATCTGTCCACCGTATCCAGAGAGGGAAGCTCCTGTAAGCAGGCACCTGTACCCTCCTATCCTTAAAGGGACCTCTGGCCTGCTGGATCTATCTACATCCTCTGAGGGCTCATAACCATACCACCCTGAGGGAGAATTATCCTGTGTTCCAGTCCGGACCTATATCTGTGAAGGAGATCCGTGTACATTACGTATTTGAATTATGCTTCTGGTGAGTGCGTAATTCTTACCTTATTACTGGGAGCACCGCCACTGGATTGGATCATTACACCATATTGTCTTCACCATATAGACTGTCCCTGATATATGCTAATGTTATTGGGGACATTATATACCAATTTTCATTACATAGCGCTGCACTTTCCCATTATATGTTTGTGACGAGGGGTTTTACTTGGTTTCCTTGAGTGTCCAGCTGCTTACCTTAGAGCGATCACTTTTATTTACTATACCACATTGTAAAAATAAAATCTACTGACACCATCTATTGCCCTACTGACACCAGCCTCTGCCCTACTGACACCAACCTCTGCCCTACTGACACCTTCCTTTGCCCTACTGACACCGTCCACTGCTCTACTGACACCATCCACTGCCCTACTGACACCAACCTCTGCCCTACTGACACCTTCCTTTGCCCTACTGACACTGTCCACTGCTCTACTGACACCATCTATTGCCCTACTGACAACAGCCTCTGCCCTACTGACACCAACCTCTGCCCTACTGACACCTTCCTTTGCCCTACTGACACCATCCACTGCCCTACTGACACCAACCTCTGCCCTACTGACACCTTCCTTTGCCCTACTGACACTGTCCACTGCTCTACTGACACCAACCTCTGCCCTACTGACACTGTCCACTGCTCTACTGACACCATCCACTGCCCTACTGACACCATCCACTGCTCTACTGACACCAATCTCTGCCCTACTGACACTGTCCACTGCTCTACTGACACCAATTTCTGCCCTACTGACACTGTCCACTGCTCTAATGACACCATCCACTGCCCTACTGACACCAATCTCTGCCCTACTGACACTGTCCACTGCTCTACTGACACCATCCACTGCTCTACTGACACCATCCACTGCTCTACTGACACCAATCTCTGCCCTACTGACACTGTCCACTGCCCTACTGACACCATCCACTGCCCTACTGACACCAGCCTCTGCCCTACTGACACCGTCCACTGCCCTGATGACTGACCCCATCCACTCACTAACCAATAACTTTGCACATTCCCAATTAAGACATAACTCCTATCCCAAAAAGAAAAGAAAACCTTTCACCCTTGAAAGTAATACAATCTGTGAGCTCTTCTTTAAATATAATCTAACCCAATCCTATAATCTACACATCAAAAATATAAATAATAAATCACATAAAGTCCCATAAATGTCCAAACAATTTCTTTTCACCTCCAAATCACATCGTGTCACGCTGTATATAGAAGTCCAACGTAATGTATCCCAAAATTCGTGAGCCTCAAAAAAAATATAAACTAGAGATAGTGTATTACCTTTTTAAAAGGATACATCAGTGCAACGAATTGTGTGTCAAGCACACTGCATGTCATCTGTACAAAAAAGTGAGAAAAAAAAAATATATATATATATAATCAATACCACATGCAGGGGCGGACTGACCATTTGGAAAGTCGGGCACTGCCCGAGGGCCCGGGGTCAGCAGGGGTCCCCATGAGATGCCCCTGGTACCTTTCATAGGCTTTTTCTGTTTGGGCAAGGACACAGGGGCCCCATGATCCCCTATTGCCCGGGGGCCCCATGAGTTGTTAGTCTGCTCCTGACCACACATGAATCAAAAAGTGAACACTCCAACTGCAAAAATAGTAAACCATGATCTCTACACAGTGCAAATATTGATTCATCAACTGAATCAAAAGAATGTTAAAACCAATTAGTGAAATCAAAAAATGTGCAAATCAAGTGAATCCCTCCAACTGGTGCAGCAATGGGTAGTTACCCTATGTAGGTGTTATCAAGCTTTCCCCAAACAGTGACACCTCCAGGCTTCTTGTTAGTCCTGTGATAGTTTTCCCATGGTCCTCATAAGGTAAATATGATATTAGAGACTATATGTATTCAAATATACCAATATTTACTCGATCACTTACATTAAAAATGGGGAAAAACCGCTTCCAGCATGAGAAGTAGTACAATGTGGTCCTACTGTGGTAAAAACAGCATGTTCCCTAAACAAAGATGGCCGCGATCGCACTTCCGGTAAACGTAGGTGCGACAGACTTATGGGACTTTATGTGATTTATTATATATATTTTTGATGTGTAGATTATAGGATTGGGTTAGATTATATTTAAAGATGACCCCATCCACTGCTCTACTGACACCATCCACTGCTCTACTGACTGACACCAACCTTTGCCCTACTGACACTGTCCACTGCTCTGCTGACTGACCCCATCCACTGCCTACTGACTGACACCAACCTCTGCCCTACTGACACCGTCCGCTGACCTGCTGACTGACACCATCCACTGCCTACTGACTGACACCAACCTCTGCCCTACTGACACCGTCCGCTGACCTGCTGACTGACACCATCCACTGCCCTACTGACTGACACCAACCTTTGCCCTACTGACACTGTCCACTGCCCTGCTGACTGACCCCATCCACTGCCTACTGACTGACACCAACCTCTGCCCTACTGACACCGTCCGCTGACCTGCTGACTGACACCATCCACTGCCCTACTGACTGACACCAACCTTTGCCCTACTGATACCGTCCGCTGCCCTGCTGACTGACACCCACCTTTGCCCTACTGACACTGTCCACTGTCCTGCTGACTGACACCAACCTCTGCCCTACTGACACCATCAGCTGACCTGCTGACTGACCCGATCCACTGCCCTACTGACCTCATCCACTGCCCTGCTGACTGACACCATCCACTGCTCTGCTGGCTGACACCAACCTCTGGCCTACTGACACCGTCCGCTGACCTGCTGACTGACCCCATCCACTGCCCTACTGACCCCATCCACTGCTCTACGGACTGACACCAACCTCTGCCCTACTGACACTGTCCACTGCCCTGCTGACTGACACCATCCACTGCTGTACTGACACCATCCAGTGCTCTACTGACTGACACCAACCTTTGCCCTACTGACACTGTCCACTGCCCTTCTGACTGACACCATCCATTTTTTAGGTAGGCTAAGTTTGTATTTTTACAGTGACATTTGTTTTATTATATTTTTCTACATTTTCCTTGCTATTTAGTTAGGCCCTGCTAGTTTTTTTTTAATGGCGCTGAACCCCGATGATCTTTGATCTCTTTCATGTTGTTCAGGTCGATCTCCACCTCTCATAGGTTGCCTATCCCCTGCGTTAGAAGCTCCAGAAACAAAAAAATAATCAATGCACATTTTTCACCTGCAAAAAAATGTGCATTTATCCTTTTTGTAAAAAAGTCAACTTATTCTGGAATGGTACTGACTGACACCAGCCTCTGCCTTACTGACCCCATCCACTTCCCTGCCAACTGACCCCATCCACTGCTCTACTGACCCCATCCACTGCTCTACTGACACCATCCACTGCTCTACTGACACCATCCACTGCTCTACTGACTGACCCTATCCACTGCTCTACTGACTGACCCTATCCACTGCTCTACTGACTGACTCCATCCACTGCTCTACTGACACCATCCACTGCTCTACTGACACCATCCACTGCTCTACTGACACCATCCACTGCTCTACTGACTGACCCTATCCATTGCTCTACTGACTGACTCCATCCACTGCTCTACTGACACCATCCACTGGTCTACGAACTGACACCAACCTCTGCCCTACTGACACCGTCCACTGCCCTACTGACTGACCCCATCCACTGCACTACTGACATCATCCACTGCTCTACGGACTGACACCAACCTTTGCCCTACTGACACTGTCCACTGCCCTGCTGACTGACACCATCCACTGCTGTACTGACACCATCCAGTGCTCTACTGACATCATCCACTGCTCTACTGACTGACACCAACCTTTGCCCTACTGACACCATCCACTGCCCTTCTGACTGACACCATCCATTTTTTAGGTAGGCTAAGTTTGTATGTTTACAGTGACATTTGTTTTATTATATTTTTCTACATTTTCCTTGCTATTTAGTTAGGCCCTGCTAGTTTTTTTTTAATGGCGCTGAACCCCGATGATCTTTGATCTCTTTCATGTTGTTCAGGTTGATCTCCGCCTCTCATAGGTTGCCTATCCCCTGCGTTAGAGGCTCCAGAAACAAAAAAATAATCAATGCACATTTTTCACCTGCAAAAAAATGTGCATTTATCTTTTTTGTAAAAAGTCAACTTATCCTTTAATGATTCTTCTGAAATGATACAATAAAAGTTTACAGTATGTAGCTAAACAGATTCATCAAGAATTGAAAATTCAGGAAGTAAAATTGACATTTATTGTGTGTATCTCTTAAACCGGTACTGCGACTTCTGCGTAATAAAGGGCAATAGATATGAAATGTGATCTTCTTCCGCAATTTACCACAAAACCATTTCTAAGGTCACCAAGTCATAAAATGTACAGCGGAATGTCCAAGGATCCATTGAAGGGTCCATTAATTCAAGAGAAACTAAAAAAAAAATCCTTTTTCTCCCATGAATTGAGCTTTCATTCGATGGTATTTGATCACCTGTGTGTTTTTTATTTTTTGTGCTATAAAAAAAAGAGTCCGACAATTTTGAGAAAAAAAAAAAACGATATTTTGGACTTTTTGCTATAAAACTTGTCCAGTAAAAAAATGTAAAAATCTAATTTCGCCATAAATTTCAGCCAAAATGTATTCTGCTCCGTGTCTTTGATAAACAAAATCCTGATACGTGTAAATTCATTGGTTTACGTGAAAGTTATAGCGTTTACAAATGGCGGTATAGATACTGGATTTTGTGTTCTATTATACTAATAATAGTGGCAATCAGCGACTTATGGTGGGACCAGGGGCGGACTGACAACTCATGGGGCCCCCGGGCAATAGGGGATCATGGGGCCCCTGTGTCCTTGCACAAACTCAAAAAAGCTTATGAAAAAGGTACCAGGGTCCCCCTACGGACTCCGGGCCCTCGGGCAGTGCCGAGTTCTCAAATGGTCAGTTTGCCCCTGGGTGGGACTGCGGGACTGTGGCGGACATTCTGACACTGGGGGGGGGGGGGGGACTGACTTGGGGTCACTGACATCTCCTGTGCCACCATTACAGTGATCAGTGCCAAAAAAAAAACCACTGACACTGTACTAATGTCACTGGGGAGGAAGGGGTTAACTTCTGGAGACAATCAAAGGGTTAACTGTGTGTTTTACTAGAGGGCAGGGGTGTGTACCTGTCTATTGCACACTGTCCAGGAAGGCTGTGCCCAGGGATCCCAGAACAATGTGCTGAAAGCTGACAGGGAGGAAAGCTCCATTGAAAACAATGCATCCTTCCTCCCCGTCTATGTTTGCCGGCAATCGCCGGGCTCCGGCAGGTAATAACCGGCAGGGACCCGGTGATTGATACCTGTGGCTGCGATCAGTGCCACGGGTAGGGCGGTCGCGCGCCTTGCGCGTACCCCCTACCCCGGAGTGCAGGATCACGTTTATACGCCTTGTAGCAGTATATGTATTGCGGCCGGTCCCCTAGTGGTAAAAAAAATGAAATAATTGCGGCCGGATGCCGACTATACAGTATAATTATGTCTGTCAGGGGCATTTACAAAGGCGACTATGATTTACGGGTGTCAAACTAGCGGCCCTTCAGCTGTTGCCAAACTACAAATCCCATCATGCCTCTTTGGGAGTCATACTTGTAATTGTCAATATTGCAATGCCTCATGGGATTTGTAGTTTGGCAACAGCAGGAGGGCCGCCAGTATGACAATCCTTTCCCCCCTAGTGCCCAGTACTGGGACTGCTACATCACTTCCGGTTAGCAGAGAAAATCCAATTCTTCTGACAGCAGAGGATCTTGGGACCTGCTGTTAGAAACCACAGGGCCCCATATAACCAACCTGACAGGTGCCCCCCCCCCCCCCAAAAAAAAAAAAAACACAATTTATTATGCTTCAGTTATGAATGAAAACAGTGAGTGATTGATACTGGTCACTGTGTTCATTCAGGAAAGGAAGGGGCTGGTAAGTGTGATATATTTACTGGATCCTTCCCCCACTCTCCATCCTGAAGGATCCTATTGTGTGCTTGCGGCTGCTGGTGGGAATGAGAGGAGGAAAGCCGGCAGCACTGCGGGGGTGGGGGGCACACATGGGGGGGGGCCTGGGCAGCAGGTGGAAAAATATGGTGAACAGGGAGGGTGATGGGTGCATGGGGGGGAGGGTAGTTACTGGAACCAATCCCCTGTATGGCTCTCTCTGCAGCAGCTTAAAGTCGGCAGGAGGGAGAGGAGAAGAAGCCGGCTTTTAGGAGCTGCAGGGAGAGAGCCATACAGGGGATCGGTTCAAGTAAATTCTCCCATCATGCCGATCACCCTTTCTTGTTAACCACTTCCAGTCCGGACACTTTCCCCCCCTTCCAGTCCGGACACTTTCCCCCCCTTCCAGTCCAGACACTTTCACCCCCTTCCAGTCCGGACACTCCCCCCCCCCCTTCTAGTCCGGACACTTTCACCCTCTTCTTGTCCAGGCCAATTTTCAGCTTTTAGCGCTATCACACTTTGAATGACAATTGCGCGGTCATGCAACACTGTACCCAAATGAAATTTTTACCATTTTTTTGAGACAGATAAAGCTTTATTTTGGTGGTATTTATTCACCGCTGGGATTTGTATTTTTTTTGCTATGTAAATGAAATGTCCAAAAATTTTGAAAAAAAGTGTTTTTTATATAAAATTATGCAAATAAATAATATTTCATCATAAATCTTAGCCAAAATTTATTCCGTTATCTTTTTAGTAAAAAAAAAAAAATCCAAATTAGTTTATAACCAAAAATTATAATTTTTAAACATTTTTTTTTACATTTTTATTTATTTTTTTATATTATTATTTTTTTTTTAATTTTTTTTTTTTTTTACGTACTGTCACCCTAGCAGTACAGTGTCACCATGGTGACACTGTACTACTTGTGGGGGGTGATGAAGATTTTTTTTTTTACACTGATTGCTTTTACACCCATATACACCCATATAGGATGTAAAAGCAATCATTTCTCTTTCTCTCTGTGTGCATTCTTGCAGCCATTGAGAACTACTGAGTGAGCTGTGATTGGTCACAGCTTGTCACATGGTACAAGGCTTTTGTGAATAGCCTTGTACCATGTGATCTCTGTGATCATTCACAGATTTCACACGTAGTAAGCAATAATGTCACAAGTGACATCTTGCTTACTACTTTGCATGTGATCACTGATTGGCCAATCAGTGATCACATGATCGGGACCTCGTACAGAGGTCCCGTCCGACGATCGGTGTTTCACTGTGTCCGGAGGACACAGCGGGCACCGGATCGCGGTGCTGCGCGCTCCCAGGGAGCGTGCACAAGCAGGGTGCAGGGAGGCCATTTGTAAACGGCCCTGCAGTGCCACCGTCCAGCCGTTTATATGCAACAGCCGGTCGGGAAATGGTCAAAGAATCCTATCCTGCTTCTACCTAGTAAACTGCCATTTATTTCCTCCATCAGCTCCTCCCCCCCACAGCTATTACCTTTTGTATCACTCAACCCTTCTTCCTAGATTGTAAGCTCTGATGAGCCGGGTCCTCTGTTTCCTCTTCAACAGAATTGTATTGTAACTGTCATGTCCGCCTTCATTTTGTACAGCGCTGAGCAAACTGTTGGCGCGATATAAATCCTGTATAATGTAATAAATATAATGTAACAATAATATTGTTACATTGTATTTATCAGAGAATTTTGTGAACATTGTTCAGGAGGTTTGCTAAATTCACACCTTTGTGTGCCAGACACGGAATGTGCTGCCCTTTAGGCTCGGTTCGCATATGTGCGGGTGGTGCCGCTACGGATCCGCAAAAAAAAAATCTGTGCAGCCGCACCATCCGCACAGAGGAATGTGGACCCGCGGGTGGGTGCCATTAATTCTAATGCCGCCCGCCGCCCGCACTGGAAATCGCAACCGTACTGGCAACCGAGGTTCCCGTGCGGGCTGCGTTTTCTGAAGAAGTGCCGGGACTTCTTCCCTGTGTGTCCCCGGGCACGGCAGTCCATTCAAATGAACAGGCTCTCGTGCCCGCACCGCCGCAGATATGTGAGCCAGGGGTTAGCAGACACAAGGCAGTGCGATGAATTGTTAATGGCACCCCAGACATGTGCCGATGCACACTCCAAACGCACAGCGGCGCATTACCATGTGGTTCGATGCGGCATATTTTCGGAAAAAAAGACAAGATAGGCTCGCACCTTTGTTTGTTATTTTTGAAAACATGTGAAGGGATTCTTTTCCATGTTTCTCACGTATAGGGCAGCCCAATGAAATGACATGACACATAAAAACGCATGGAAAATGCACCAACATTTGCATTCACTCATTTACACATGTAGGTGTGAACCTAGCCTTTTTTCTGAATTTATTGTGCTACTGAAATGAATAGGCTGCCCTGCACACAGCATGTGGGAACTCCCACAGTGCCTATTCCCTCTGTTTAGTAATCCAGCATTCGCATTATTCGCTTTGTTGTCCCTCACTGAACTTTTTCTAATTCAACAACATCTTCCCAGAGGATTGGTGACCAAAGTTGAACTGCATATTTACATATACTACACTCATTCATTCATTGCTGCTAGACTCATACACCTTATCATCCAATCAGCGCCTGCTGCTGGACTCATACACCTTACCAACCGATCAGCGACTGCTGCTAGACTCATACACCTTACCAACCGATCAGCGACTGCTGCTGGACTCATCCACCTTACCGACTGATCAGCGACTGCTGCTAGACTCATACACCTTACCAACCAATCAGCAACTGCTGCTAGACTCATACACCTTACCAACCGATCAGCAACTGCTGCTAGACTCATACACCTTACCATCTGATCAGAGACTGCTGCAAGAGTCATACACCTTACCAACCGATCAGCAACTGCTGCTGGACTCATACACCTTACCAACTGATCAGCGACTGCTGCTGGACTCATACACCTTACCGACCGATCAGCGACTGCTGCTAGAATCATACACCTTACCAACCGATCAGCGACTGCTGCTAGAATCATACACCTTACCAACCGATCAGCGACTGCTGCTAGACTCATACACCTTACCGACCGATCAGCGACTGCTGCTAGAATCATACACCTTACCAACCGATCAGCGACTGCTGCTAGAAATCATACACCTTACCAACCGATCAGCGACTGCTGCTAGACTCATACACCTTACCGACCGATCAGCGACTACTGCTAGACTCATACACCTTACCAACCGATCAGCCACTGCTGCTAGACTCGTACACGTTACTAACCGATTAGCGACTGCTGCTAGACCC